TGGAGAAAATTTGAGAAGTGCAACCCTACAAATTCTTTGAATCTTTAAACAGTTTGTTGTTTTATTGCCTTTTGGATGATGACAATGACAAATAGGCAGCATTGTTAATCTCATGTCATTCAATTACCGCAGTTAACACTGATTTCCCTGTCTCCCCAAAGATAAGTATGACTATGACCCTTTCTATTGACCAGAATTGCCTGCAAGGTTGCCAGGAAACAGTTGAGGCAATAGTCCCTCTTTTCTAAGCTAATCTCAAGGAAAATGCATTAGAATGGATATGATCTCTTAAATTGAGGGACAGCTATATTTTTGTTTGAAATTTGGCTACTCCAAATAGATCAAAATGTTGGGTGCTTATTCTAAATGACACTGATCGCTTAACCTCTGAAGAAATAGGTTAGTCCATCCAGGATTATAGAATAAGTGGAAGAGACAAGAAAAGATCTATTAAGTGTGTTATATGACAAGATTACTTTCTATATCATAGAATGATATACTGGATTGGGTTGCAAGGAGCCATAAAAGATCATCTAGTTCCAACCACCCTGCCATGGGCAGGGACATCTTTCACATGATCATGTTTCTCAAAGCCCTGTCCAACCTGGCCTTGAACAATTTCAATGACAGGGTATCCAAAACTTCTCTGGACAACCTGTTCAGTGTCTTACCATCCTCATAATAAAAAAATTTATTCTTTACTTCCAGTATAAATCTACCTCCTTTCAGTTTAAAACTATTTCCCTTTTTCCAGTCACTACAGACCCTGGTAAAAAGTCTCCATCCTTCCTTATAAGTCCCCTTTAAGCACTGAAAAGGCCACAACAACAGAGCCCTCTCTTATCCAGGATGAACAACTTGAACTCTCTCTGCCCTTCTTCAGCAAAGAAGTATTCCAGGTCTCTGACCACCTTCATGGCTCTCTGCTGGACTTGCTCCTACAGGTCCATGTCCTTCCTGTGCTGAGTACCACAGAGTTGGATGCAGCAGTCCTGGTGGGGTCTCACCAGTGTGGAGTAAAGGGGCAGAATCACCTTCTTTGACCTGATCACACTACTTTTGATACAGCGCACATTGCTGGCTTATGTCCAGCTTCTCTTTGCCCCTCAACTTAAAAAAGTCATAACACTACATGTTGGCAGAAAAATAAAGTCAAAACATTTCTGAAATGTACTACAGCATTATACTTAGTGTAGAGTATTCTGCATTAAAAGAACATTTTGACTTGACCCATTTTCAACTTAAGAGCTTGGGTGTGCCATTCTATTTGGACTAGTAATTACCCAAAGTCAGCCAAGCTACCAGTAAAGACATAAAAAAACCCCAGATCATGAGTATTGACATCTATGTGAATTTTAATGAAAAATTATAACAACTTAAGGTAATGATTCTTATGGTAAGCCCACAAACCTCTAGAAGGTAATGAACTAAGCAAACAGAGTCTCTTTTTAGGACTTACTAGGTGTGTTCCAATTTGTGTATAAAATGAAGTTTGGCACAACTGTCCCTGCATTGTATACTATCTTTCTGGATCTGTAGTTTTGTTTCCTTATGCAGTTAAAATATCTTAGTTTTCCAAGTGTGAAAATTAGCAGCTTAAAAAATACAATGGTAAATTACCCACATACTCCTCCAGCTTTAACAATAAGCCTTTTGTTGGAAATACTGAAAACTACACAATACCACATGAAAATTGACTGAAAACATAGCTCTTATACAGCTAGTGGAGAAATGTTAAGGTTATTTAATTTTTTTTATGACTATTACATGTATCTCTCCCAAAGCACATGTGCATTTCTCCCTGCTCAGTGCATCAGGTATGATAAAGAAGGACTGAAAAGGGTTAGTATAAAACTGCATACACAGAGAACAAAGAGGTTATCATTAAAGGAAGAAGGACTCCTTATTTCTCATGTGCCGGCAGGGAAGCTCTACAAAGGCCCTGGAAGAGGGGGCTGCCCCAAGTAGCAAGCCATTCATTAGGTGAGGGGTGGGTGGTGGCGGTATAGCTTCCCTAGGGACCATCACAACCACCATGGAGGTGCCTGGGAGGTATCTGATGTGTGATGCTGGGCCCAGGTCCCACTGAGGGACACTCTTTAAGTACATCACTATTATTATTCAAATCTTGTCAGAAAAAAAATTTTTAAAAAGTCTTTGGCTTTTTCCTTCTTTCTATATAATTTCTCCCTCACACAGCATCCCTCAATATATGATAAATTTGGAAAGGGCACAGTATTAATGATTTTCAAGTGAGTGTGTATATTCTTTTCGGCATCACTTCTTCAAATCCTTGGGGAAAATGACAGGGTCACCTTCTATTTTTAAAAGAGCAATAATTTTAATATAAGAAGACACACACTAGGAACCAAATCACTAATTATGGATTTATACTCACATCTAATACATCCCTTCCCTCAAACACTCCCTCTTTACTTTTGCTCAGAGGCACTGACACCAGAAATAGCCCATTGCTGATCACATGGTTTGGGTGAACTTCTTCCCCAGCTGTAATATGCAAAAGAGTACTAGATGTGCTAGCCTGAGTTTCAGTAATTCAGGGACACTTAGGTGCACTACCTGAGTGACTAAAAGTATGAAAGTAATTAGTGAAAAGCTCATGAGCTGCAGTGAAGCAAAGCTATTTTACATCAGCAAAGATTGTGACTTGTAATCTGACCAATGGTTTCCAGTTTAAACTGTGCATCTCTGTCCTCCTAGAGAAGAGCAGAGGAAGAAGGACACCTCATGTCATTCCACCTGAGGGAGTTCCTGCAGCTGGAAAGAAATTTATAATTTTTCTCAGCAATTTAACACCTCAGGTCATTGCAGTAGGCAATGGCAAAGACAAAACTTTTTATCTGGAGTTCCAGGCCCATGCAAGTGATTCAGGGACTGCTTGAGAATTAATTTAACGAGGTGCTCTGCAGGATGAGTTTTGAGGCTGACTCAGAGGCTGGTAGTTCACAATACTCCTAACAGAATTATAATAGCTGAAAGGTAACACTACAGCTCCAGTCAACCAATGTCATTTGCAGTCTTGAGGGCATGTCCCAGAGCAAAAAAGTTAGCTTATGCATAGAGTGCTAAAAATTATACCATATGTTCTCAGTGTATTTATAAGATGCAGGACTAAATAGCCTACTGTGGTATCTCACACCTGCAAAGAGAGGGCTGGGAATAATGCAGGCCAGATAATTTCTGTGCTGGGAGACACCAGCCTCCTGTGACAATTCTCAGCTAAGTATGAAGACCAGGAAAGCTGAGAGCTGGGAAGACTAACAACTTCTTTTGCTGAGGTGTTAAATTTACAAAAAGAGTGAGAACAACTACAGAGTAGCTGAGGTGCCAAGAACACCACTGATGCTTCGGATGAGGGTGTTACTATTGTTCCTGTTCTGAAGGGAAGGGGAACAGATGAAGAGATGTGTTTCACCCTTTCTGAGTGAACAACATTTCTCAATGTCAGTTCAAACCAATTATTTTTACTGCTAATACATGGTGGCACAGCAGAGAAGAGTTGCAGGTTATTGCTAGACATTAGCTATCATTTTGGTTTTATTAGTGAGAAGTATTTACCCCAAATCTGACCAAGTTCCCCCCCTTAAGGGAGGACTGTCAAATCTCCATGTGTAAAGACAATGCCAAAATGTACCTGTGATCGATGTTATAGCCTGCTCCAGTGATCACAGTGCAATCAGATGATCTCATGAAAGTCAAGGTCCTCAGTCAAAGTGCTCAGAGAATAAAGAAGCAAGACAGATGCTGCTGAGAAGTTTCCATAAGATTTGTAAAAGGTAAGAGGAAGGAGAAAAAGTTACTGGTTTGCTTCTGCATTTGTATTTTTCAAATGGAATGTTCTATCTGTTTCAACATCAGCTCAAACTAGACTTCGGAAATGAAGTCCTGGTCTTGGGGAAGGCGATAGTACTTTTTCCTTCTGACTTCAGAGGGGTTTCACAACTTACTTGATGAGATCTTTCCCTCAAACTCCAGGAGTAGATTCTTTCATTGTTTAAGAACTTTGGCTTAGAGGAAGCAGGCCAAGAATGATCTCAGGCTGGGGCAAAACTGGAATATATTTGGCTGTTATATTCAACTTCTCCCTTATCTCAGCTCCATAATAATATAATGTTGATGAATATCAAGTTAATCTCCAGCATACACTAGGCAAGAAAAGATAAAGGGTGTTTCTTTGCTTTGTAATGGTGCAATGGATATAACAATGAAAGAAAACTGAGAACCTCTAACATATATTTTAATGAAAATAAAGGTGTTTTCATAAACTATGCATATTTTTCAGATTTCCTACTGCAAAACACTTTTACAACTTCCAGATCTGTCATTATCAAACTTTAGAGTCAGAATTATCAACACAGAAACATTAGGAAGCTCATTTTAAATACTGAAAATGACATTTACAGAAATGAAGAACCTGAACTGGATCTAGGCATTTTAGAATTTGCCTTGGTCCTCATGAGATAAAATTCTTTATCTATTTTGGCATTTAGCTGAACCGGGAATTTAACAGTAAGGATGCAGAAGACCACGACAGCAGTAACTGCAATGATCATTTGTTTTCAAGAGGATCTACCATGAAAATGGTATTTGCAAATAATGTCCTCCTTTATTTTGTTTTCAAGGTCATGAAATCCCATCATCTTCTTGTTCATCTTTTCTGCCACTTCTCAATTGCACCAAATGTTTGAGTATTCTTCTTGTAAATACCTTTGTCAACTAACACTTAAGCATGCAAATTAATACCCCTTGTGCCTTCAAAAGAACTTTAGCAAGTTCAATAAACAACTATTTTTCTGTTCTTCCTATCTATCAACATGTTATTTGCAAACGCTTCCATCCCAAGACTCCAGTAGTATTGCTTGGACAAGCTTTAAATGTTCTTCTTGTAGAGACACATCTCTAGGGCTGGTAGTCATAATGGTCAAGAATGCCTGATAGACCCTGAAGAAAATACAATTTAAAAGTAATATATGTCTTACCTGCTTATTCATAAGTATGTAGATAATGGGATTGCAAACAGTGCTGCTTTTTGCTAGGATGGAAGGTACGATGCTTGTAACTGGAGTCACAATACCTGGCTTACCAAATGTTGCCAGTAGTGCTATAACTCCATAGGGAATCCAGCACACAAGATAACAAATAACTGTAGTGATCACCATGAACAGTACATGGTATTCTCTTTTGCGGGCAGCATTCTTGTGGATTTTTCCAACCTAGGAGAAGAAGAGAAAAGATAGAATTTAGGAAGCTGAGCTGTTGGACTGACTGCATCAACAACCTGGGACTACTGGTCTTGGATCAGCAATGAAAATCAACACTGTTGTTGCAGAAGCAAAACAAACACAAACCTGAAAGTGATCGAATGCAGTGGGAAGACTTTTATCATCTCCATTAGGCACTAGGGGAAGACCTGAAGAGACTACACTACGTGCCAGTATAAACCAGAATCCCAGTGGAGGCTGGAGCAAATTCTAAAATAACAGCTAATTTTTATTTTCTAAGCTTTGGAGTGAATACATTTTTCTGCAGACAGCTATGGAACATTCTTCCAGTGTGTTTGTATGGCTGAGCACATTGGTGACAACAGTGAGGAACAAGCTTTGTTCACTACACAGAGTGCACATTCAGTGCTATACACAAGAATTATTTAAAAGCAAGCTTCCCATGCAGTAGCTCTGTGAGATGGACATTAAGTTTGATCCAAAGGTCATGAAAGTCAGCATAAGATTGGGTGGGGAATAGATAAGGTTTGGGTACTTAACCTTATTTTATAGGAAATATTAAAAAGTTCTTAGGAAAAATTAGGGAATATTAGCTCCAGAATAGCAAGACTGGTCTCCCTAAGCACCTTTGCAGCCAAGAAAGAAAAGCAAAATCTACAGGGAGGTTAATCTTGGAAACAGCCTCTCTCTGCAGACTCTAGACAGAGACTCAGCACACTGGATTCGTGAGGTTATGGTTGATTCCTCAACCTTCCCCCAGCATGTGTTTAGCAAAGCCAGATGTACCAGAAGAATTTCAGACACTATTCAAATGTTTAAATTATATTGACTGAGTCTTGTACTCAGCCAAATATAATTTATGTCCACTTTAAGGTCTCTTTGCCTCTGGAATGCGGTACTTGAGAGTAAACTACGCCCAAGGGAACTAAACCTATGTAAAACTACAAACATAAATAAGCAAGAAGACAGTTCCCTGT